GGGTTTATACTGAGTACAATATTGTATAACTGTAATAATTCAACTGTAAACCTAAAAATTTACAGCCAATTTTGAAAGAGATGCATATTAGCTTAGGAAATTGTTATTGAATATGTCAATGCTGTTGTAATGAAATGTGTCTTCTAAGTATGTGGTTAGTAAATAAATAATTAAAAAAATATTCTGACAGCTTCATACATTCATATACTGAATTTTAGTCACTCCCCCCCCCATTATCCTCTTGGTCCTCTTTCCTGTCTCACTGGCACCTCCCTTTCAGCAGGGCATTAGCTTAGGAAATTGTTATTGAATATGTCAATGCTGTTGTAATGAAATGTGTCTTCTAAGTATGTGGTTAGTAAATAAATAATTAAAAAAATATTCTGACAGCTTCATACATTCATATACTGAATTTTAGTCACTCCCCCCCCCATTATCCTCTTGGTCCTCTTTCCTGTCTCACTGGCACCTCCCTTTCAGCAGGGCCCCTCCCGCTCCCATGCCTTCTTTTCTGTGTGGCCCCCTGAGTTTAATAGGAATTACTTGCCTGAGCATGGATGGGAAATAATTTAGTGGAATCCCATTGACTATTTCATCTTCCCATTTGGTAACTTTCAACTTCCATGACTCTCAATTTCCTTATTAATATTTAATGTTGATTTTTGTCTACTTCAGAAGTTTATGAGGATCTAATGATATAATACATAAATATTTAACACAATTTTCAATCTAGAATGGTAGGTTTGTGAATATTGGGCCATTATAAATGACTAACACGTTTATTCAAGTATCATTTCTGTAGAGTAGTTTTCTCTCTCTCTCTCTCTCTCTCTCTCTCTCTGCCTCTTGCTTTATGTACATTTTTGTTTCTCTTGTTTTATGGCTATTTTTGCTTCTCTCTCTCTCTTTCTCTCTTCCCTGTCCGTTTCTTGCTTCTTTTTTTGTGAGCCAGAATCTTGTGTAGTACGGACTTACCTTGAACTCACTATGTAGCTGATGATAACCTTGAACTTTTGCTCCTCCTGAATCCACCTCCAGTGTTAGGATTTCAGGCATCCACCACCATTCCTGGTTTTGTGCAGTACTGGGGCTTGATCCCAGGTCTTCATGCATGCTTGGCGAGTAATCTCCCAACTGAGCTACATCTCCAGCCCTGTTTTATGGACAGTAAATCATCACATATACATAAAATCCCTAGAACAAGTTATGCCACTTAAGAGCTCAACCTTAGTCTGTTAAGTCCTATAATTTCAGTTACTTATATATTATTATCCTTCATTCTATATAATAATCATAATTTCAGAAAAAATATATAAGAACATAAAACATAGACAAGTATGTGAAGAATATTAAAACTACTATTTTTGTGTTTATTTGTTAAAAATTATGCTGTTCCATTGTACCTCTGAGCTGTACAAAAGTTGGTCTTTATAATTGGGATGTAACTCAGTGGTAGAGTACCTGTTTAATAAGCAAGGCTCAGGGTCAGATCCTGGACATCAGAAGAAAAAAAACTAGGAAAAAAAAACAAACCGAAACAAAGCCTAAACATTCTCCATAGTGCCTTTATGTGGATCATGCATCTTTATTTAGTTTAATGTTGCTATAGCAGACACAGAGCTATGTACCCAAATCACACAGTGATATTTAACTGGCATCACACCTCAACCAGTTTCCAAACCAGCAATGCCCAGTGTGGAAGAAAAAAATCAAGGACATTTTACTGCATGTCTCCCCTACCTCTTCATGCTGCAAACTCCTTTCTTGTCCTTAGAAGCAGCTCTGAAGATGTGGTGATATTGGAGCAGACACATGGGGAAACTAATTTGCCTCAGGGAACTGAAATTATTTGGTACTATTAACCAAGAAACTCTTGAATTTATGTATGCAAATATATGTATATAAAGATATAAAGATGTTTTGTGGTATAAATAGGCCACAAGAAATGACAGTCCAAGTAGATTGAGTTAGTTAATTTATATCCAAGGTCACTTCTGATCTTGAAAGTCAGCAATCAGAATTAGTGACTGAGTTTTCAATTACAATACCCAGTCACATATTAACTTTTAAGGAGCATAGAAAAATTCATGTTAATCTCTGCTTTCAGGGAATATGGAGCCATTGATGATGTAGATATTGATCTGCATATCGATGTCAGCTTTCTTGATGTAAGTACCCATTTCTGTCTTATGACTGGTATATTTAAAGTGTGTTTATCTTCATGCTAAGAACTCCACTTTGGGTTGGCTCACAGCGGTTAGTTATGTACCACTTTTGTAAACGTGGTCTATGAGGACTGATCAGTGAAGCAGGGATCATGCAGTGTTTTCTTTTTCGTTGTTCTTTAATATATCCTGAAATTTATGTGGGCTAATTAGAATACATAATTACATGGTTTTGTTTTAAATCTTCATGTATAATGGCAAAAAATAAAAATTCTTTGGCTTTCTTTTCATACAACAGTTTTCTAAGATAATTCATAAGCCTTTATAATTTAAGCATTTCACTAGTTTAAGCTTAAACGTTGGTTTTGATTTTTCATTTTGAGCTCTAAAAGGTGCCAAACTTATTTTTAAATATATTTGTACAGGAGGAAATTGCTGTGGCTTGGGAAGTAATTCGAACAGAACCTATAATTGTCCGACTACACTGTTCACTTACACAGTATTTAAATGGCCCAGGTTAGTTTTATTTCTTTATTGTTTTGAACATTGATTATATACTGTGCCTTAAGGAAAATGACTGCTCATTTGATAATTCTGAGTGCATTAAGTATCTTGATAATAGTGTTGGATATGTTCCAAGAAAGATGATCTATCTTCAGTATAATTAAGAAAACAGTATGGATACCATTTCACTATGTCGGCTTTATAAATTGAACAGCTTCTGTGAAGTAAGCAAAATAAAACCCAAGAGTGCTTTGGATATAGTAGATGTATAGTAAATGTATTCTGGATTGGCCCAAGTTTAATTATTTCACTTTCCTAGTTATCCCACCTGTGACTACCAGAGAATTTAGTTTAGGTAAATGTAACAGGCAGAGGTCATGATAATATTTTGGCCTTTTGAATTTGTAGGGGAAGATGTTCCTATATTTCAACTGACAATTATTTACAAGAAGGGATTCTACTGTAAATAAATTTTGCCCAAACTCATCACTCAGCTAAAATGTCTTCCTCCTAGCAAATGCTCACAGACACAAACCACATCTCAATTGTATCTACCCAGATTAATATAGTTATCTAATGCCAAATGGTGAACTACCCCAAGACTTTGTAGCTTCATAAGCTTTATTTTCTCACCCTGTTCTTTGGGTCTAGCTGGAATTGACTGCAATGTCCCACAGCTATCCAATTATGTGGGGGATGAAGCTGGTGAACGTACATATCTCACTCAGTTGGAAGCACACTGTACTGGATATAAAAATGACTAAGTTGTTTTGGGGATGTTCTGGCCTGCAGCTGATATTAGTGATTAGAGCACCTGCTTCACACTTGACAACTTCCTGATCATAGGACTTCCTATGTAGTGATGAACAAGGACCAGAAGCAAATGTTTCATGAGATGAGATGTGCCTAATTGATTGTCTCCTGAGAGTGATTCAAAGCAAATGAGGCTGTCAGGTCTGAACTATCTTTTAAAATATTTGTTAGGAACAAAATTGAGCCATTTTATTTCTATTTACTAAAACCTCATGTGAGATCCAAATGCAGTGTTTTTTTATATAATCATATATGTACACAGATCATCTCTCCATTGTTTTCCATATTGACTATCATTCCTCTCTTTTATTCTTCATAACTTAGTACTTAGGTTTTGCCAACCTGTCTTCCGCTCTGTCAATTGATTTATTTCAAAATTCAGCCCTAAATTGAATATCTCCATTGTATATTTAATTTGTCTACCTTCTTAACTGACTCCACATTATACACTCTGTATCATCTGTTGCTTTTATTAGTATCATTTTGAATCTTACTGAGATTATTAGTCAGTAATTGCCCAAGATTTATCATCTTAGATTTCCTCAGTATTATAATTAAGCAGGAGTTGAAATGCACTTCTTCAGAAGTTAACTGTGTTTTGTACGTTTTAATTTTTTTCCAATAAGAAGAGGAAAGGAAAGCAATCCATGCTTACTTAGATCTAGAAGTTCTGACAGCTTGAGATATGGACTGGGAATTGTATAGTGCCACACCTTGGTCTTGACACACTTTACCAGATCTGGGACCCTATCCTCTACACCTGTATTATCTTCAATCCTGCACAACTGCTGCTAACAGCTCACATACTTTAAGCAGCTTGTCTTTAGCCACATGACCTCTTTTGTGGGTGGTAAGTATCTTACCTCCCTGTGGTTTGAGTTGATTTGTGTGGGAGGCCAGTGGTGTAATTCATGCTTCACTCTTACTAATGGGACGGCACCAGAGCTGAGACATCCCCTCAGTTTGCTCCCTTGCTGGGCTGTTCCCCTTTTGACATCCTCATGCCCTTCATGTCCCTTATTGGATTGTCCTGAGAGCAATTCACAGTAAACCATTTGCCCTGAATCTTCACTTAGGGCTTCCTTTGTGAGAATGAGACCTAACGTGGCTAGGCTGGGGACAAGAGGGGGAACCCACAGTTGCTGAAGGTGGAAACACTCCCAGGCCAGCCTTTTGCTTCCTCATGACCTGTGTCCAAAGCAGCTTTCTGGAGCTTACTCCCTGCCTTGCCATTCATTTGCCCCTTGTGTGAGATGCATTCACAGTGGATCCTTTGCCCTTCTTCCTCACTGGGTGGGGATAAAAGGCCAACCAATAGGGCCTCCAAAGGTTGGCTCCGTCTCTTCTTTATAGTAAAATTTTCTTCAACTTTCTTATGTGGGGATAGCCTGCTCTTTGTTTCTTGTTTTGGGGGCTGTTTTTCTCATACATCTCTAATATGCTAGTTAAATTGGTTCTTCTTCCAAACAGAATTATATGAGAAAAAATGATGTCAAATTCTTCATTTCCTTGCCACCTAGAATGAACCATATGGTGAATCTGTATCAGAGTTAAACTTGAAGTAGATTAGGGAAGAATGGACATTTCTTTTTTCTTTTTTTTTTCTCTCGTATGTCTTTGCCTTTATACAGGACAGCATTCTAGTAGTCTTTGAAGTCTTTAAAACAACTCTTTGAAAATTAAATATATATATACATACATGTATATATTTGCTTATATATATTATATACAAAATGAATTTTGTCATTTTCACCTCCTACTATCCCCTCTCTCCTGCTGAAACACTTCTTAACACTTTGATAGTGTGTGTGTGTGTGCATGTGTATGTGTGTGTGTGATTCTAGTAGTCTTTGAAGTCTTTAAAACAACTCTTTGAAAATTAAATATATATATACATACATGTATATATTTGCTTATATATATTATATACAAAATGAATTTTGTCATTTTCACCTCCTACTATCCCCTCTCTCCTGCTGAAACACTTCTTAACACTTTGATAGTGTGTGTGTGTGTGCATGTGTATGTGTGTGTGTGTGCATGTGTGTGTGTGTGTGCGTGTGTGTGTGTGTGTGCGTGTGTGTGTGTGTGTGCGTGTGTGTGTGTGTGTGCGTGTGTGTGTGTGTGTGCGTGTGTGTGTGTGTGTGCGTGTGTGTGTGTGTGTGCGTGTGTGTGTGTGTGTGCGTGTGTGTGTGTGTGTGCGTGTGTGTGTGTGTGTGCGTGTGTGTGTGTGTGTGTGCATGTGTGTGTGTGCATGTGTGTGTGTGTGTGCACTTGCCTGATGTGCATGTATGCATATATGTTACGATCCACCAGTTTAATCATGGTTGCTTGCATGAGCATGAGGGAGGAGTTATTTACTGAAACCTGGGCTACTTATCAGTGGCCACATCATTGAAGAATGTAACACCTTCTCCCCCAACAACCATTAACTTACCCATAGTACCTTAGTGAGTGGTGGGGCCTCATGAGCCCCTCCATGCATGATGAAAACATGATGCTCCCACTCTCCTGCAGGTCTGTGAAGGGAACCATAGCTGCAGTGAGTTCATGAGTGCAGTAGCCACGTCATGTCCAGAAGGTCCCTTTTGGCATCACTCTTCCCCAGCGCCTAGCTCTCATATTCTTTCTGCCCCATCTTTTGTGATGTTCCCTGTGCCTTGGAGGTGAAAATACAGACGTTCTCTTTAGGGCCAAGCACTCCACAGTCACTCGAGAATAGACATTTCTAAAGCAGTGATCCTTACCTTATAAAAGAATACTTAAAGTTTTGAATTCTGCATATTAGTACAGTTCTCATCCCCCTGCCCCATCTTTTGGTGACGCTTACAATTTTGGATGAGTTTATTCCTGAGTACTGGCTTGCTTCCTCAGACTTTTATAGTTCATTTTATTTTCCAACTTGTTATTATTGGTTTTCAGAAAGTTATTAATTTTAAAAAAATCATTAAAATTTAATCTAAACTGTTTTTAGAGTTAGAGAAAATTTCAGATAGTACAGATTCTCTCTCATATTCCATGCTGTTTATCTGATTATTGTCTTATATTAATTCATTAAATAGAACTAATTACAGTTAATTACATTAATTTTAACAATATTAGGCATTTCATCATTTGAGTTTTGGAATATTTTTAAAGTAGCATTTTGTGAACTCATAATGTATTCTAAGTTTTTAGGTCATTTAGATTTTATTGCTGCTGACTGAGTCATTGTTTATTATTTATAGTTTCCTAAAAGTTTTATCATTTTGAAAAAGCATTGGTGCTTTTCTAATCATGCATGGTATGATTAAGTTTCAAATTTTTTATTATTATTTTGTAGAACTAATTACTATATGCTAGATAGACATTTGTGATATTATCTTTTTCCCCCTCATGTGTCTCACATAGTTTCCACCGCTGAAGAGTTTTGACTCTTCTAGTGTCTTTGGGCCTTTCTACATTTTAAAAGTAAGCCAAGTCCCTTTATGATCCTGTCCCTTCTCTCCCTAATTACTTATCGTTTCCACCTGTAAAAAGACTGTATCTTTTAGATCTTAGGGAGAGCACACAGTAGTCTCATTTTCTTTGGAAAAAAATGTTGCACTGGATTTTCAAGATGTTAGACTTTTTTAAAAAAAATTAGTTAACTCTGAGTTTGAGACACATCAGATTGGACTGATTCTGCAGGACCCCTCATGAGGTAAGTATCAGATCATTTTCAGGAAGGAATTGGTACAGGCAGTAGAGGTGTGAGCAGTGTGGAGAGGTCATTTTGCCTCATACTATAAAGCATGTGTGATCTGAGACTGGCCTTGTAGGAAGGCAGCACCTGCCCCACTCCTAACACGCACTGTTAAGACATTGTCTGAGCTCCCATAAAGTGCCATCCTCTGGTTTGTGTGGTAGTTTCCATTCCCTTTCATGTGCTTACAACACTGTTCCAGCAACTGTCCCTGTCCTTCTTATACTATTCTCTGTTTTTTCTTCCAGAAAATTCAAACCAGGAGACGAATATTTCTTTCATCTCATAAAACAAAAATAAAACCCTCAACTTCAGGTTCTCCTTGAGCTGACAGTGTAGTACTGTTTCTCTTGACTGGAAAATTTCATCATTAGCATTACTCTGTTATGGTCTGTAGCTCCCTTTGTTTCTTTTTCTCACCTCAGATTCACTCAGGCCAAGTTATAGGATCATCACTTCACAGACAAATAGCCAGTGGTTTCAGTATTGTTTAATGGCTCTGTGATCAGTCCTCATCATCTTAATTGATGAAACTGTTTCCCTCTTCTTTGAAAAATTTTGTGGGTGTGTGTTCAGAGTAGACAGCTTCCGCAGTCTCCACCCTCATGGCCGTCCCTCTCTAGGCTTTTTGGATGGACAGCTGAACACTCACAGGTGACGAGCCCCTTCCTCAGCCTTCTTCTCTTCTCCCTCTGTAGTGCCTGAATAGTTTAGCACCACACCTTTGCATATGTGTATATTTTGGCTGTTTCAGACTGATTATCTTTAGTGCAGTCCTCTACTGGAATGCCTTCTCTTTCTAATTGCCTACTTTAACCCTTCCATTTGAGCACCAAATAAATATCTTGAATTTAAAATAGTTAAAATCAACCAATCAACTTCCCTTCCCCAAATCTGATCTGCCTGTACTCTTTCATATATCAAAACTTGATGAATTTCACTCTTTCCACCCCAGACTGTGGATTTCTCTTGACTCCTTTCTCACACCTAAAATTCTTTGAAGTCTGTCACTGTCCTGGAAAGTATGACTCCAAAATATTTGTCTACTCCTTTCATTGTCTGTCTGTGCACACTGCGCCATAGACTTTATGAGAGCAGGGAGCAGGGACTTCCCCCATTAACCTTTTTATTCTTAAAATCTATAGTGACGAACAGTGGATATATGATAAATATTCTAATCAGCAAATAATAATTGATGAGCAACTTTTAAAGATGAGCTACTAATTTTATGAGTTACTTATTTAAGGAAATACATATTTGTGTATCTATATGTACATATATAATATGAAGCACCTGAAAAGGGCATACAACGAAAAAGAAGTCTATGCTTTATCTTCATCTCCCACTGTTTAAAAAGTTATATACTCATAACAGCATGTTTTCTTAGAATTAAAAAATGTTGCATGCACTGTCCTAAATTTAGTTACTTAAGCTATTGTTTATTTTAAAGATTTTGTCTACATATCATATATCAACATACACAGACATTCATATATAATAACCTACTATGTAATATATATTTCACATATATAATTTAACCAGCATTGCAAAGAACAGTGTGAATGCACACTGTTTTTAAATATGTTGGTGCATCTATGCATGTATACAAATAATAATCACCTCATCTTCTGGACTGCGTTTCAAGTCAATGTTTGACTGTGTTTTCCTGTCCCTTTTCCAGTGCCTACAGTTGATGTCTTTCAGATTTCCACAAAGGAGCGATTTGGATTGGGACATCAGCTGAAAAAGTAAGTTTGCTGAAGAGCAAAGATGGCGAATTTCTTTTCAAGAGAGCTGAGCTCTCATTTTGCTGTTTTTCTCCATTTTTATTTCCTAACATCTCTTTGAAATGAGTGCCTGGGGATCGGAGATCATCCTGGTGCAAGCCGCTGTATCCATAGCTCAGTTTGCACGGCTCCCTTTTCAGCTTGGCCAGGGCCCTTCTGTCTGCCAGTCCATGTACTCAGCCTTCTAGCACCCTACTGTCCACCCTGCTGGCTCTTGTGGACACAAGGCATTTTTCTCTAATGTACCCAGCAGAAGGAGCAAAGGCTGGGCAACGGACGTAGTGATTGCCTGGATTCTTCCCCAGGAGACCATCTTGATCTGTTCTTTTACATTCATTTCCCTGTCCTGCTCTAGGCTGCTGCCTTTGCATGATTGTCCCTTACTAGGTTTGGTTGCTGATTCTTCCTGCTTATTCTCAGTGACCGTGAGGCGGTAACAGGTTAGCATCCACGGACTCTGGGTTACTATACCATTCTTATTCCCTATGCCTGCAACCTTTTAAGCATTCCTTTGTAATTAAACTCTTTCTTCTTTGGCCCTTTACCAATACTATCTCAGTTTACCTTTTTATAAATAAAACTCATTCTTCAAAAGATTAGTATGTAAGGAATTTATTAGAATAAGTAGATACATTCTTTAGTATATCATTATTAGCGTGCATGACTTAGTAGTTACGTAGTCATTAGGATTCCTCCATACTTTGTTATTACTGATATACCTGAAGTAGAAAAAATGATAATAGGTTTGGAGTATCAGGAAAAGACGAAAAAGTTCTTGTTTATTTCACCCCACATTTCATAGCGCTTCTCCGTAGCTGTTCGCTCTTCCCCTCTACTTCACTTTTGTATCGTTGTTTTCTTGAGTCAGGGTCTCCTGTAGCCCAAGCTGATCTAGAACTCAATATGTAGATCAGGCTGGCTTCGATCTCATACAGAGATCCACCTGCCTGTACCTCCTGTGTTCTGAGATTAAAGGCATGTTCCACTACTTTTAGCTTTCTAATTCACTTTGTCACTGGTTGTGTTTTTTGTCTAAAAACCTGATTTTGAATTTAAAAAAAAAAAAAAGGAAAAAGAAAAGACCATTGATAGAGCCAAATACAAAGGCAGCAGACATTATAATTTTGATTTGAAAAAAAAATAGTGGTAAATTACAGACACATGTGTTGACTTTTCTCAAATCAGGTCAACACTTAAGTAGGAACTAAGCCATAGAAATTGGGACCAGTATACTGATGTGGATCTAGAATACTTGTGGTTTTGCTGAAGGAAATAGTGATGCTGTCTGTCCACATATTCTCCGCTGGTGACCTTCCCTGCGCACGAAACACAACTCTATATTCACGTAGGATCTACATGAGCCTCAGCCTTCCATAAGAGGACATGAGATAACCCCAAGTGAACCTAAAGAGTGTGCATGTATCATGTACAACATGATGTTTTCAAGAATATACACATGTACATATTGTTGGATGGCTCAGTTTAACTGTACTTGCATTTTCCAGGCACTCATATTTTTTTGTTTTTAAAATGATATTTAATTCTTTAGTAATAAATAAAAGTGATTCAAAGTACTGGATAGCCTTTGATGCTTCTATATTCTTACTCATTGAATATACTACAAATCAAGTTAAATATGTTTCTCTTCAGTGTCACATCATTATGATGAAAATATTGAAAATCGTCTGGCTTTTTTAAATACAAGGCATAATTCTTACCTGAGCAACAGCACACCAGAACTTTGAATTCCTATCTTTTTGTAACTTACTGCCCATTGATTCAACTCTCCCTGTCACCCATCTCTACCCTCTAGTAACAACCATTCTATTCTATAAGTATTTTTAGATTGTGTATACAAATGAATCAATTCTTTTAGATTCTGCATAGGAGCGAGATCCCGTGGCACTTGTCCTCTCTACTTGGTTTATTTGACTCAGCAGAGAATCTCTAGTTCCATTCATGATGGTTGCTCATGACAGGATTCCATTCCTTATGGAACAGTATTTCATTGTTTATCTTTATCCTTTGTTTATCTTTTTGATCCTTCCTTCCTTCCTTCCTTCCTTTCTTCTTTTTTTTGGTCTTTTTCAGACAGTCTCCCTATACTCCCAGCTGACCTGGAACCCACTATGTAGACCAGGCTGGCCTTGAACTCACAGAGATCCATTTGCCTCTGCCTTCTGAATGCTAGAAATAAAGGCACATTCTTTTTGAATTCTTTGAGATAGGGTCTGGCTATATAACCTGGCTGACCTTGGACTCATAATTCCCCATGATCTGCCTCCTGAGTTCTGGAATTACAGGTGTGTACCACCACATGCAGCCTATCCATTCACCATCTGAAGGGCACTTGGGTTGTTTCCCTCTCTTGTCTATTGTGGATGGTACTGCAATAAACATGAGTGTGCAAATGCATCTTCTATACACCGATTTCCGTTTATTTGGATAAATATCTGAGTGAGAGTGCTAGGCCATATATTCAATTTTTAATATTTCGAGGACTCTCTATACCACTTCTCATAATGATTGTCTTTTTATTTATTTTTATTTTGGGGTGTGTGTGTGTGTGTGTGTGTGTGTGTGTAGGACAGAGGACAACTTTGTAGAGTCAGGTCTTTCCTTCTACTTTCTTATGTGTTCTAGAGATTAACTCAGGTCACCAGGCTTCAAAGCAAGCAAATGGCTGTCTTAAATTTGCTGTGCACAAACAGTGTAGAGTCCCTTTCCTGCACATTCCCACCCTCACTTGTTATCTATCTTTTGGATAAGAGCTAAAAATCCTGACTGAAAACATTGACATACCTCAATTAACCATGGTCAGAATATAAATAAGTCCTATACTTATCAGAACACCAGCTTTTAGAATTTGTTAAGAATTGTTGAAGACCGATTTATTCTTCCAAATCCATAAAGTTTGATTTATTTTGTCAAGAGACCATTAGATCCTTGTACTTTAATGCAGCAGTTTAGGTCCTTCATCATGATGCAGTCCATATCTTTTCCTTTTATTTTGATGAATTTTCATTTGGTACCATATGGCAGCCTTTACTGAGTGATGTTCTAACAGAAAACATTTTGAAATTGTGTCAGGTTCATGTTCACTGATGTGGGAAGTCTAATGTGACGTCTGGTGTTGTCCAGATTACAGAGCTCGAGGATTGTCCCAGTTCTGATAATGTTGTACTGATAAGGCCTCGCTCAGATATGAATTACACATGATTGCATTTGAAAGAGAAAATCTGCTCTGTAGCCCCTCATTGCTGAGTTTAGATGTATAAACAAATGCAGAATTAGACGATAAATCTTCAGTGTTTAGGATCCTGCATCTGTACATTTACAAGGCTTATTTAGCACATTACACTTTGCAGCATTCTCTCTCAAGGGTTCACAGAAGACATCTTCAGTTTTCTGTTCTAGAATTAGGGCTGCTTCTCCACTGCAGTTGGTTTTATTTTTTCAGGTGGACTTTGGCCCTGAGTGGAGTCCATTCCTCACCCTTCTTGGAGAGGAGCTTAGGGGAACTCTGCATTGTGCCTCTTGTATTGGGCATCACCATGCCTTGGTACATGCTCTTGTAAGCACCAAAGAACTTCTTATTCTAGTTTTAGAAAATTATTTGTTTTTATTTTATGTGTATGAATGTTTTGACTGCATGTAAGTATACCACGTGTGCAATTCCCACAGAGGCCGTCTCTCCAGCGCCAAACCTTTATATTTTAAAATGGGATGAGGTTGACCAAGAGAAGACAAGAACTAAAACAGCACAGAAATCATGAAATAGGCAACTTTCCCCTGGTAATGGCTTCAAAGTGTATCACATGAGTTCAGAAAAAGAAATTGGATATAATTCCAGCCTAAGAAATTAAAGTTGTTGCTGGGTTCTTAGCTTTAGAGCCTAGTATAATAAATAATATGTTTTAATACCCCTATGTAAGTGATTAACATTTTTTAAAAGTCCCTTGCTTTTATGAAAAAAAAACTTTAGTTATGTAGAAAATGTGTTAATATGGGATATATTTTTTCAAGTTTTTTTTGATGAATTTCAGTGTGACACATTTTTGTTTTCTTAATTGTAAGTGCTTTTGGCTGTGATCTCAAGTTCCATCTAGTTTAACACTATATAATTTAAAAATTCCAATCTCATCTTCACAACAGTTTATAAGAAAAATTAAATATTAAGAAGTTATTTCCCTGAACCATATGGGAAGAATAATAGTTTAAAATTAGTTGTTATTGCTTAGATTTGATTTTAATAAGTGACTTGCACTGAATATTTTCTGTGAGCCTCATTCTGGTGTGTAGGCAGCAGACCCCTTTGCTTCTTGTACATTACTTCTATTCCAGTCGCTTACATGCTCTCAGTCACTTAGTCTGTGACTTAGTAACAATGACTCTGTGACGCATACTTACTGTTGATGATCAAACCAAAATCCAGAGAGTGCAAGCAGTTTTTGTGAAACCACATAGCCAGAAAATGCTATGGCCAGAATTCAATTTCAGTTCAACACTTTTGAACGATGTGCTAATTTGCTTGTCATATAAACATAGGTGTTCCCTTGCTATATGTAAGATAGCTTTGGGTGAATATTTTTTTTTTTATGTCAGCAATTTATCCAAGGTAAGAAGAATGGTTTTATTTGTTATGTACAGCATCATCATTGTTCTAAAAACAAAGAGATCATACTATTCAATGAACATACCTATGTCAACTTGCAGTGTTCTAAATTTTCTCTAAATTCTGTTTTGACTACATCCTTCAATTTTTTTGGTGTGTGGTAGATGCATGTATGTGCACATGTGGATGCACACACCCATGCACTGTTGCTGGAGGCCAGAGATCTTCCTCTGTTGCTGTCCACTTTATTTCCTTGAGATAGGGTCTCTCACTGAACCTGAAGTATGCTGTTTAGGCTAGGCTGCCCGGGCAGTGAGCTCTGGGGCTCTGCCCCCTTAAGTGCTGGGGTTACAGGCATGGGGCTACATGCCTGGCTTTTTTATGTGGGTGCTAGGGATTTGAACTATGAAGTCAATAAAAGAGCTTAAGAGAAGATATATAGCTTTTCATGGCTGATCTGGTACAGAACTGTGATCCATCTGATGGAGTGTCTGTTATTAAAGGCTGAACATTTCAGAGCCAGTGGGAAGAACTGGAAGTTTTGTATGACTTACACAGTATGTGAAGTGTATGATCCCAAATTCAAGTCAATACCTTTCATTCAATTTTTCATAAATGATGTTATGTACTGAAGTTTACCCTGACAATCATGAATTTAATACCCATGGTGTGGTTCTTGTATGATAGGAAGCAAAGCAAATCATGGTGTTGCCCATATGTAAGCACTTCTCTTCATCCAAAGACCCCTGGAACCTTTGTTTAGAAGCTGGCTGAGACACCGTCTTTCATTTGATGAATACTTAATATCCTACTGGCTCACTGTAATGAGAAGGTGGTTATCATAACACATGTGTATGCACAGGCACATGTGTGTATGTATGTATATGTGTATATATGTATGTGTGTACACACAGATTTTAAAAATAGCATATATAGAATTGAAGGAGCTGTGTTGAAGATACTATTTGCTGACTTAATTTTTTTGTGGTTTGCTATATGGTTTTCCTTTTCATGAAGAAAAAAACATAGAAGCAAAAAATCAAGTAAAAATTGATTTTACTTTAAAAATTCAGAATTTTTTTTGTTACTTATATAAAAGTTATAGATCCTGAAGCCTGTCTCAGAATTCTACAGAAATCTTTTATTCTTTCATAAACTCTCCTGTCATCTGGATATTGAAATTGTAGCTATAATTTCATTCTTTTAATAATTAGTAGGGTTTTTTAAATCACTTGCTGTGATATGTCTAGTCATAATAAAGCCCTAGTAACTTATTATAGATTGGCTTCTTCCATATGGAAAATCTTCAGTACTTCTAACTTAGTATTTTACTGATTATTGGGTTTACTTTTCCTTTAAAAATGTGTTCTCAATGCAACAAGCACAGAAACATTTATTTAAATCACATTGGAATTGTGATAACAGAATTGCCTGCCTTTGGATTGACAGAATCATGCAGACGTTTGTCACACAACAGTGGAAACAGAGCAAAGAAAAGTCCAGTTGCCTGCACGGTAAGAAGTTGTCAGAGAAGAAAGTGAAGTCTCCCCTGCATTTATTTTCTACCTTACGCAGGTTGGTAACAGGCAGCTTCTCCCTTGTCTTATGTAGTGCTAGCTTCTAAGTAGTACAGTTAAAGCAATCTGTCTTGAGCTCTGTTTATTTTCTTTATGACTTCAATCAAAATACTGTTACACGTGTTCCATCGAAAGCATAGATGTATTTCATTAATATTGCTAAAATTCATTAAAACCAGATTTTAGTTTCAAATGGCTTAGAGGTCCCTTCAAAAGGGTTCTGGGGTAGGTAGGAGGGAGAAAACATGCTGGGATCTTCTTTCATTTGTCAGGAAAAATGTGATTTAATTCCTGTGACTATTCCACACCTATCTTTGGCTTTGGCCTGGAAGTGGAGTCTGTGGAGTTTAAATGAGGAGGTAGTGCTGGTATAACACAGCTGAGTTGGGGTACTGAAGGTTAAGTCCGGGTTTGCATCGTGTTAATTCTTGCCCCTCTCCAAGGTCGCCAAGCTATCCTCCCCCGGGTTGTGGCAAAAGCAAATCCAAACTGAAATCCGAGCAAGACGGCATCTCCAAAACGCACAAGCTGCTGCGGAGGACTTGCTCCAGCACAGTCAAGGCGGACGAAATGTGCGCCAAGTCGCACAGGACCTTTGGGCGCTCGCTGTCCAGCGACCCCAGGGCCGAGCAGGCGATGTCAACCATTAAATCGCACAAACTTTTGTCCAGGCCCTGCCCTGCCTCCGGCAAGCAAGATGACTGCCTCACTCTCAAGTCGCATAAATTATTGACTCGATCTTGTTCTGGAGACCCACGATGTGAGCACAACACCAACTTGAAGCCCCACAAACTGCTAAGCAGGTCTTACTGCGGTAACCTCAGAGTGGAAGAGTTGTATGGGCTGAAAAGCCACAAGCTGCTGGGCAAGTCCTACTCCAGTGCCCCCAAGTCAGCCAAACCCGAGCTTTTCAAGGAACCCAGCACAGAGGGCAGGAGGCTCTCTCTTACCTCAGGGCTTATTGGTATCTTAACACCATCTTCATCTTCATCTTCCCAGCCTGCTGTGCGTAACTGTTTTCATCTTGAGTTCTTAAATGTTAGCTAACGGGGAGTAGATTTGTTTGAATTTTAAGCTAAGATCTGGGGGAGGAAAATACCAAGATCGATATTTTGTTTTTAAGGTTGCTGTATATTTTCTTTTGGAATATTATTTTTGCATACCAGACATCAGCCACTGGCACAGAAATGTTTGGTTCTGTTAAAAAAATATAGTTACTGATCTGCAATCCAGTTTGTACTCCTACCACTGAATGCCACGAACAATGAAAGTCAATTGGATTTACAGTTTTTCCTTTCAAGGAAGCATGTAATTTTAATATTTATTAAGTAGGTTATTTAATCTTTTCTTTCTTTCCCTATGTGGGTAGTGGAGGAACATACTTGTCTTATAATTAGATTAAGAATAATCCTTTAGTTATATATGGGAGAACTTTGTGAATATTATGACTGGTGATAAATCAGCACTTAGATCAGTGGTCGAGTCTCACATGAAGTTCTTGATGTCCACGTTATGCTAAAGCTGTTTATGGAGGACGTGGAGTCAGATGATGACTGTACATGTACCTTAAACTATATTTGGTATATTGGCTGGGACATGAACCTTGCAACTCTCCATTGATTGGAATTGTAGTCATTTTCAGATAGACCTATCTTATACATGTTATTACATATTTGAAAAAATGGTTGATAAAAATTTTTGTTTGCTGTTTTAAATATGTGTATGTTGGGGGTGTCATACTGGATACACCAGTCAAATAGAAGTGGACAAAAGTAAGATATTTCTCTGAGAAAGTCATTCTTATATTTTTTCTACAACTGAATTATAACTAGTATTTTAAATTATGTTTGTCACAGGAAAACTAGAATATAATTTCATGTGAATATTCTAAAATTTCATCTGTTTTCAAAGGTAAACTTTAAGGCCAAGAAAGACATGGAGAAAGATTGTCAGTTAATATAGTGGAATGTTTCCTGATAGTTTCACTCCAAAAAGTTAATTCCAGATATTCTGAAAGAAAATACCTAACTTTCCCCCCACAGTTGGCCTAATAAGTGATTTGTGCTGAGCCGTTTGCCAGCAGCTGTCTAGTCTTCCCTTGGAGGATTCACTGCATTTGGCTGTAAGATGAGGTTGAAATACTCCAATGAGGGTGTGGTGAGCATTTTCTGACAGCTCATAGAGGAAACCAGCGTTGTATTCATATCATATCAGTCATTTCCACTAAAAGATCAGAAATTACAAGTATTATTCATCTAGCTTATGTAAACATTGTAATAGTAAGGGCTGATAGAATTAATAAGAAACATTGTAATATTTTGATGCCATAATAGCTGGCAATATTTCATGTGGACTTAGAAAGATTATTTCCATATTCATTTTTGAAAAAGATAAAGACTATTATTTCTACGGTTTCCCCAATGAAAAATTACCTTTTTTAACCTTGCTTTTTATAGACAAATGGTGCAAAATGCATTCCAATACGAGACTGCGGCTTCCTAGTGCAGGTATGAGTTAAGACCGTCCATTGTGAAAAACTTTGGTCCTTACAGGGCTTTCAAATTACTTAAGAACCTCACAGACTTGATTTTTTTGTATTGTTTATTCAGACAATTGAATTTGCTGAACAGCGGATCCCTGTATTGAATGAATACTGCGTGGTTTGTGATGAGCCCCATGTGTTTCAAAATGGCCCCATGCTTAGGGTAAGTTCTTACTGATTGAATTTCTATGTTAATGTGTAATGGATATGGCAAATGTTCAAATAGAAAAATAAGAAAGTATATGCAGTTTAAAGTAAACACTCTGTTAGGCAAATTATTTAAAATATATTAAGTGATATTATTTGGTTAGAAAGTATTTCTTCTGAAAGTGTGTGTGAAATAGTAAGTAATTTGTCATTAGGAAAATTGTATTATGTCTATCACCTTTATATCCACTTACATCTATGTCTGTATTGGCAATTAGTCTCATAAATTGCGTAGTCTAAGAAATGCTGTTTTTTTAGTAAGCCACAACTTCTGGGAGCATCTTTTTGTAAAGTTAAGTAATATAGATGGTTTAATATGTTTATTCAAAACTCTACAATTTAAAATGGTAGCATAGAGGCAGTGGAAGCCCCATGCCAGTGTGCAGAGGCACGCGGAGGCAATGGAAGAATCAGAAGAAGGCTTCCAACACTGCCAATTTAGTGTTAGAGTTGGGATGTTATCAAAGAAGTATGGTAATAGAAATCAGTTGGTGCACATGTATTTGGGGATGAGTTGTTTGATTTCGAATGTGCTTTTTGCGATTTTCATTGACTAAAATTTATATAATATTTATATGACTAAAGTGTACAAATGAGTGATTTTTTAATGTAATCATGATTATAACCTTCACCACTAATTCCAAAATATTTCTATTACCTCACGAAGAACCCCAAAGTGGTTAGCAGTCATTTACACTCTCCCCCTACTCACCCCCTCCATCCCCTGGCAACCACTGATCTGTCTCTATGGATTTCCATGCTCTCAAGTTTTGTTCTTGTAGCATGGATCAGTATTTTGTTCCTTTTGAGTATAGAATATCCATTTTTATGGATATACCACATAGAAGTATCCATTCATTAGTTGAAGGGATTGCTCAGACCTATGTTAATACCATTTCACTATGGCTGAATTGGATGATGACTGTGCAGTTCCCATTAGCAGTATATGACAGCGTCTCTTTCCCCACATCAGCATTACTGCTATTACCTCTCTTTAAAAAAAAAAAAGTGTGTGTGTGTGTGTATGTGTGTGTGCTTTTCCAGTGTGTGTGAACCTGTATCACACTCATTTTGATAGCACTTGAGTAATGACTGATGATTTTGAGCATTGTTTCGTGAGCTTTTGGCTATTTGTATATTTTTGGAGAGATGTCTGTTAAGAACCTTTCCTCATTTTTAAATCCAGTTCATTTTATTAGTCAGTTGTAAAAGTTTTTTGTTCTGGATCCTATATCCTTATTATTATACCCTTATTATATATTTGATAAATACAACTTCCATGAGCTATCCTTTCATTTTTTTGAAAGTATCTTTTAACCCAGAAATTTTTTATATTTTGGTGAATCTAATGGATTAATATTTTGTTTCATTGTTCGCATTTTTGATGGTGTGTCTATGGAACCATTGCTTAATTCAAAGCCACAACACTTAAAATTGTTCCTAACAGTTTTATAGCTCTTCTTACATTTAAACCACTGATTAAGGCTGCAATCCAAATCTGTTGTTTTGCATGTGATACCCAGTTTTCCCAGTACTATGTGTTGAAAAGACTATTCTTTATTTAGTGATCTTGGTACCTTTGTTGAAAATCAATTGACCATAGATGCATTAGTTTGTTTCTGGATGATAAGTTTTATTTCCACTTATCTGTATGTCTGTGGTTATGCCAATACTACACGATCTTGATTAATGTAGCTTTGTAGTAAGATTGAAATAAAAGGAATATCAATTTTCTGTGTTCTCCTTTTACAATATTGCTTTGACTATTTGGACACCATTGCATTTTCCTGTCAATTCTGTGGTCATCTTCTTCATTTTTGCAAATAAAGGCAGTTGGAATTTGAATAAGTTTACATTTGACCTGTAGATGAATTTGGGAATTTATATTGACATCACCTATGGACCAAATGTTTGTATTTCCTCAAAATTCACATATTGAAATCTTAGCTTCTGTGTAGTGGTATTCAGCAGTGTACTGCTGAGGTGATTGCACCATGAGTTGGAACCCACTTCACCAGATAGCTGAGAGCACTCCCTCGCCCCTCTGCACGTTGAGACACAGTGAGCGTGGACCCTCACCAGACCCTGAACCTGTGGGCTTTCCAGCTTTCAAATTATGAGAGATACGTATTTGTTATTAATAGTGTTCAAAATGGACTAAGACAAAGTTTTCATGTTAATCTTTCCAGCTCTTGAGCACAGGATATCTTTCTACTTATTTACATCTTTTAAAATCCTTTCAATGCTGCTTTGGAGTTTGTAGTATCTGAATTGCATAGTTCCTTGGATGAATTTTTTTGATGTTGCTATAAATCAATTGTTTTATTTCATTAGCAGGTGATTCTTGTTAGTAGTTCTTATTAGTATAAGGAAATATAAATGTTTTTTACTTTATCTTTGCATCCTGCAGCCTTATTGATTTTTTATTAGCTCTAATAAGTTACTTTTGGTATCTTTATTCTCTGTAGATGTTTTAGTGTTTTTTCCTGTTCCTGTTATAAAATATGCTGGTAAAAGCAACTTAAGGAAGGAAAGATTTACTTTGGCTCACAGGTCGAGATGACAGTGCCTTGTGGCAGCAAAGTCACAGCAGCAGGAGCACAAGGCCCCTGTCAGTTCGCACCTGAAGTCAAGAACTAGAGAGTGACTAACTAACCCTTGTATTCAACTCACTCTCCTTTTTATACAGTCCAAGATCCCAATCCAGCAAATGGTGTCCCTCACAATGTATGAATCTTTTCACCTCAAACTAATCAAGACAATCCCCTCATATGGGTGCTCAGACACTAACCTAACTAAATACTCCTTCACAGTTGTGCTCAGGCTTGTCCCTAGGTGACTCTAGACCTGTCAAGCTGATAATGCTGACCATCACAAAAATCATGTCATCTACAAATAGAGTTTTACTTTGCTAGTTAATGAGGCTCCATGTGACTTTGTTTCCTAATGAATCTGTCTAGAACTACAAAACAAGATTGTTTAGAAATGACAAGAGAGAAGTTTCTGTATTGGGGTTTTGGAATAAAGTTTTTAGTATTTTACTGTTAGTTATGATTTTTTTTTCATAGATGGACTTCATCAGGCTAAAAAGACTTCCCAGGGACTGGAGAGATGGCTCTGTGATTAAGAGCACTGGCTGCTCTTACAGAGGACTAGGGTTCAATTCCTACTACCCACATGGCAGCTAACAACAGTCCATAACTCCAGTTCCAGGGGAATTCCTCTTCTGATTTCTGAAGGCATTGCAGAACATAGGTTCACCAACCAGTACATTCATATACATAAAATAAAAATAACAAATAATGACATTTAAATTTTCTCTGAAACCCTGGTGTATAAAATACTTTTAAATAATGAAAGTGTTTCACTTTAATCTTTGTATTTCTTTTTCCTGGATCTGTTAAAGATGTCAAATGGTTTCTTTTATCACTTTATGAATAGAACATACTATACTGAGTTTTCACATAGTTACATGGTGGAATCAGATTCTACTTACTCATGTGATCAAATTCTTACATGCTGTTAGACTCAGTTTATGCCTTTGCTCACAAAGTATAATTGCTGCATAGTTAGCTTTTCTTATTATACTTCGTAAATTTTCTGGAAAGGTACATTGAATTTATGTTAATTATTAAATGTTTGGTAGAATTTGCTAAGAAAGCCATCTGGACATAGATATTAATTTTACACTATTTTTATTTATGAATTTAACTTCTTTATTATGTATAGGGCTGTACAAATGATCTATTTGATTGAAATTTTTATGCCAGTTATCATTTATGTGCAGAGTTGCCTTGTCTTTTTACTCTTTCCTTACAGATTTGATACCTCAATTGATGAAACCCTTTGCTTCTTTCCAAATGCTGGAGAGTCCCATCATCTGTGTCAACTCTTCATCATTATTGCTAAATACCTAAATACCTGATAGTCAACTTGTAAAGAGAGATGGTTTATTTTTGGCTCAGTTTTGAAGGCCCTTGTCCATGATCTGTTGGCTCCATCACTTTGACTTTTGGTAGGCAGCATATGGTGGCAGGCGTATGAGACAGCAGAACAGCACAGCCCAGTGTCCCAGGAGCAAGAGAGAATAGAAGGGACTGGAACTCCACAATACCCTTTAAGGACCCACCCTCCGGTGGCCTACCAACTCCCCACTCTAACTTTAAAGCCATTCTTAAAGTTTCCCCTTTCTCCCAAGTGAAGCACTCTGGGACCAGGGCTTTAACAAATAGGGCTTTGGGAAACATCCAGACCATCACAGCTTTTTTCTCTTTTCAAGCCAGAAGACTGGTAATGCTACAAATCTTTTAAAAAATAACCTTAACTGACGTTTTTTCCCCTTTATTTTTTATTTCGCTAACTATTGTTGAAAATAGACCTATTGAATTCTGTTCTTGTTAAACTGTCCATTTCTGCCTCTCGTTCTGTCAGTATTTCTTTCATATATTTTGGTGGATTGTGTTGTTGAGCAGGTGTGTTTATGCATTCATAGTAGGGTTTCAATATTTCATATCCTTTGTGTCTAACAGCAGTCTTCATATTCAAGCCTGGTTTGTCTCATGTTGGTGAAGCTCTGCAGCTCTCCTCCTCTCCTTCCCCTCCTTCCTCTCTCTCCATTCCTTCTAATAAGAAAAGAACATCAGTTTCCTATTCATTTTCTATATGTCGTACATATATTCTTATCCCTCTATTTCTTTGATACTGCCCTTTTATCCTAAATAGATGTTTTCTAGGGTCTCATTTTAATTTTTTTTGTAAATTTTGACCTGTTTTCATAATGATTATTCAGTGGTTTCCAATTAGTACTTTAAAATTAAAAAATCAGGTTTAGATTACCATCCTTATTTTAATATTGAAAAACTTTGCTCCTGCATATATATTTAATATTTTTAATTGTGTGTATGTGATGGGGGAGGGAACACATGCACAGGTGGAAATCAGAGGACAGCTTTATGG